AGGAGAGTTTGTCAATTCCTCTTTTAAACACCTTTTCTCTCAACATGGCATTCATCATAGACTCAGTTGTCCTCATCATCCCGAGCAAAACGGTCTCGCAGAACGTAAACATCGTCATCTTGTTGAAATTGGCTTAACTTTACTTGCTCATGCGTCTCTTCCTCACACTTTTTGGGATGACGCTTTTCACACTGCAAATTATCTCATTAATCGTCTTCCCACCAAAATCTTGAATGGCGTCTCCCCTTTCCAAAAACTGTTTTCAAAATCACCCCAGTATGATTTTCTCAAAGTATTTGGTTGTGCTTGTTTTCCCTATTTACGTCCATACACTGATACTAAACTTAAGTTTCGATCAAAACAATGCATTTTCTTAGGATACTCATTAAATTATCAAGGTTATAAATGTTATGATCCTACCACTGGCAAGTCTTTTCTGTCTCGTCATGTCATTTTCAATGAAAAGAGTTTTCCCTATACAGACCTTGCTACTCCGACCTTGTCAAAACCGACTCAGTTGGACCATGTCCTGCCCATTGATACCTTCCAGTACACCCCACCACGTTCGACCCCACGGACCCCTCCTTCTCTTGTCACCACCTCACCCTCTCCCCTGCTCCCTAACCCGGTCTCCCATACTATCCTTCCATCCTCTATCCCAGACTCCCATTCTTACCCACCAACTCCCACTACTCACGTGAATATTGAACCTGCCAACACCACTTCTCACACTGTTCCATCCACTCATCCCATGATCACGCGTGGTCAACAAGGAATTCGAAAACCAAATCCCAGATATGCTTGCATCACTACTGTTACTAATACTTTGGTTGAGCCCACATGTTTTTCCCAGGCCAATAAGTCTCCCCAATGGCGCCAAGCAATGGCAGATGAATTTAACGCTTTACAGCGTACAGGCACTTGGACTTTGGTACCCTACAAGTCTTCTATGAATGTGTTACCAAATAAATGGGTGTATCGCATAAAAAAGAACTCTGATGGTTCCATCGAGCGTTTTAAAGCTAGACTAGTTGCAAATGGATTTCATCAGCAAGAAGGCATTGATTTCTGCGAAACCTTCAGTCCGGTGGTCACCCATGCCACCATTAGGCTCATTCTCTCTATTGCTCTTCACTTTCAGTGGCCTATCCGCCAGCTTGATGTTCAAAATGCCTTCCTTCATGGCACCTTGAATGAGGAAGTTTATATGCGCCAACCTGCAGGGTTCATTGATCCACAGTTTCCCTCTCATGTGTGTCGACTTCGAAGGTCCCTATACGGTTTGAAACAAGCACCCCGTGCTTGGTTTCAATGTTTTTCCCAGAAACTAGAAGACTTGGGCTTCACTGCTTCCCAAGCTGACTCGTCTCTCTTCACCTATTTTGATGGCTCAACAATCCTTTATCTTCTCATCTATGTGGATGACATTTTAATCACAGGGAACAACAATGCTCACTTGTCTCAGTTTATCACGCAGCTTGGTGCTCATTTTGCAATGAAAGATCTTGGTCCCTTACACTACTTCTTGGGAATGGAGGTTTCCCGGACGCCTTCTGCCTTCTATCTCACTCAATCCAAGTACATTTTGGAGCTTCTACAGAACACTAATATGGTTGACGCCAAGCCCATCTCAACGCCAGTTCCCAGTGGTAAACGCTTGAGTTTATATGATGGTGAGCCCCTCTCCGATGGATCTTCTTTTCGCAGTGTTGTGGGAGCCCTTCAATACCTTCTCTTTACCCGTCCTGATATTGCTTATGCTGTCAACCAAGTATGTCAGTACATGCACTCTCCAACTACTGCACATTGGGCTGCAGTCAAACGCATACTACGGTATTTGAAAGGCACACATGATCATGGTTTAATTTACAAACCCAGTCCTCTCACTCTAACTGCCTTCGCTGATGCTGACTACGCTGGTGACCCTGATAACCGTCGTTCCACTGGCGGTCACTGCATATTTCTTGGAGATAATTTAATTTCCTGGAGTTCGAAAAAGCAACGTGGAGTGTCACGGTCTAGCACAGAGGCGGAGTATCGTCAACTTGCCTATACTTCTGCCCATCTCTCATGGTTTCGCAATCTATTCCGTGATCTATATCTTCCATTACAGCCACCTCGTCTCTGGTGTGATAATATCAGTGCCATTGCTGTTGCTTCCAATCCCGTTTATCAAGCTCGCATGCGCCATGTTGAAGTGGATTATCACTACATCCGGGACAAGGTCATTCGCAAGGAAATTGATGTTGGTTATGTGGCTACCACAGACCAAATTGCCGATTTTTTAACCAAAGGTTTGTCATCTGTTCGCTTCCATTATCTTATCTCCAAGCTTCCTGTTCGTCAACGCCCTGTCAGCTTGCGGGGGCGTGATAAACCTAGTTTGGATAAATCTCTACACCCTAACGAAAGGTCCACATCAGCACCACCAATTCAACCTTCCCGCTGCAATCTGCTGTACAACCTGGACAAGCTGTACAACCTGGACAACAGACCGAAGGAATAAACTCAACCTGCACAATCACATGGCTACTGCCACCTTTATTCACATGGCTACTGCCACCTCTATTCACATGGCTACTGCCATCTTTTATTGTTGTTTATCTACTATCTTTATGGTTGTTTTTTGTATATAAACCGCTGCCATTGCAGCATTGAGAAATATAATTGATCAAAGCAATATTCATTACTTTCACGCGTTCGCAATGATTGGGAAACTGCCTGGGCCTTGATTGATGAGATGAAAGGTCATTCTCTCATCACTCCTCACACTCTCTTGATCATGATCAGGAGGTGCTCTTGCGTTCATGTTGGCAAGGCTATGAATACTTTATATGCTTATAAACGCTTTCACTTTGATATATATATATATATATATATGATGTTAGATTGTTAGTTAATGTTTGTAATTTTGGTTAAAAGATGTGTAATTTGTTTTGGAATGCAAAATGTGAAAAAAAAAAAAAAAACGATTGTTAACGGACGACCTATTAACTTAACGGGTTGGGTCCGGATGACCCGTTAAATTAACGGATCGGATCCAAACCCAGTAAACCCGACCCATTTACAGGTCTACTAACAGTGTACCAGATGATGGAAATATGACTCAAGTCCAAGTGAAACACAAGCCTAAAGAATGACATCGTACTAATAAGAAACTCTTTAAAATCAATACTGAATGCAAAGAAAATAGTCTGTTTATGTTTATATACTAACAGAAGCACAAACAACACTGTAACTTACTTTCTCATAACTTTCATGTCCCTTCAATCTACTTCGATGGATGCAGCGTCCACTGAACTGCTGCTGCAAGTATGAATGCAGCAAATAGCAGATCCACAAAACAAACAATGACATCCCAGGAACCAGATAAATGACCTGTATGACGATCAATCACAAACTTGGACGATCAATGGAGGATAGGATCAAAGGTTTGAGCCCCGTAAAGGTCATATGCATGGGGAAGTACACCAGAATAGTAATTCCAAGGTAAAATGAACAAGGAGGATTATCCTTTGAGTTCAGAAAAATGTTGAGGCTGATTTGAGGGAAAAGAAGGGCATCAAATACTAGACGGGCATAGCACCTTAAATGCCCCAAAAGAAAATGCTTTACAATGAGCAATTTGTTCTGCTTGAAGTTCACAAACAAAGAAATGAAGCCTCCGGTGATGTGTAATAGTGCACAAACATTGAATACCATTTTCTCAGCACCCCCATGAAACCATTAGGTTGGGATCGTGCAACTGCTTGGACCATTTGAGCTGGAGAAGATGTTGATGGAATATGAAAGCCAATAACGTGACAACACGTACGGTCATCTCATTCACCTCAAGCCATCTGCCAACTCTTACACGAGACATCTTGGCCTTCTCAGTTTTGCAAGAACAAGGCAAGTTAAGCACAAGTGGGAGCATGTACTTCAAAATAAGAAATGCAAGCATGAGAACTGAAATAAAAGGGATAAGTTACGGTGTCCTTTCACATAGTAAAACTGGTATCCCACAAATGTGCATGCGAGTTTGCTGGAGATCAGAGACATGAGAGTAGAAACAACACACACGAGCATGCAGATTTTCTCATACGAGCTGAAACAACACACATCTCCGTTCTATTTTTTTCTGGAAAATTACAAGTTATTAAACACAGGCACCTTCTAATATTGATCCACTAAACCACTGCTGCAGCCTGCAGGTTTGCAGCAAAAAGCAGGATCCCACAGGAATAAAGACATCCCAAGCTGTTGAGAAGATACAAGCACCAGGAAACACATAAAAATACGACTGATAGTAGCCAATATAAGCATTACTCTGCTCAAGAAAATGATTTTGCACGAACAAGGCCTCAAACTTTAGTAACAAAGGGATTAAGTGCCCCATAATATGAAATGGAGTAGATTACGGTGCTTTTTCACATGGAAGAGTCGGAATCCTGAAAAGATGCACGTTTATATGTGAGCTAAGATGATCACCTACTCTGTCATCCAGTTTCATTTTTCTGGAAGAAAAAAGGCTTATGACTCTAAGGACAGAGGTCTGAGTTAAAGAGGGTCAGCTTTTTCTCATCTGCTTTCCATGCTTACCTTAATTTTATCTCCATTCTTCTTTGAATTAATTGGAGGAAACTGGACATGGATAAAATCTCACAATCCATTTTTTCATTTGACAATGCTTGACAATCTAGATCTCTACAGGCCACATATTTGATTCTTTCCGCACACAAATCAAACCGAAAGAATAAAAGCTCAGCGACTACAGTCAAAGGGTAACTTAATTAGAATTCATAGAGCATACTCTTTGTTAAGAATCTAGATGACACACTATAAAACAAAACACCATGTAAACAATCACATTGCACCTGATAAATGCTTTGATGCATCTATAGTCCAAAAACCGATAGAAAACCATAATCCACAGCGAAGAAAGCAAATAACCATTATTTACCTATGAATAAAAGCATGCCTGTGTAGATTGCAGCAAAGATTAAAGAGACAAAAGAAGATTCCCCAAAATCATATTCTCATAGCGATTACTGATTAGGCCTGAAGCATCCGTTGAACACAAGTACCAATTCATCTAATCAAAACAAACATAGCATAATACAAATGGGGTTTTTCCTAAACCTGGATTAAGAGTCCAAGGGTACCAAAATCAAATCGAAAACTTCACGCCCTCGTCATCTGCGGTAGTCCCCTTGAAGATTGCAAGCTTCCCCTTCTGCTCCAGCATCTTCAAAGCCCTCATCAGAACCGTCCGATCAATCCCATGAAGCTCCGTCCCCCTCGATTCAATCCCAGTTCGGATTTCCTCAACCGTCATCACACTATCCTCCAACCCATTGTCCTTAACGAAGTCCAGGACAATATTAGCCCAGTCCTGAATTCGATGCCATAGCACAAGGCACTTTCGGCGGCTTTTATCCAGCCACTCAGCCCGGCCCTGCGCGACCAACGCCGAGAGGAAGGCTTCCCGGGCTTCGTAGGTGAGAGATCGCTCGATCGCAGGGTTAGAGAAGAGCGGAAAGTCTTGGTCTTCCAATCCGATGACGAATATGTGGTGGGTTTTGCAGTAGTCGAGGATGAGGTCTTTCCATAATTGTATCTGCTTCTCTCGGGTGTCTCTGACGGGTTGGAGTGTGAAGTACGGAGGGTAATTGAAGAACTGGGGAAGCTTGAAATCTCCCAATTTCTGCATCTGATACTCTCTTGGAGGCGATCAGAGGCCGGAAGCTTGACTGTGGCGGAGGACGGTGGGAGTGGGTAGTTTACAGGTAGAGGAGCAGAGAGAGTTTCTGAGGCTAAAAGATCAGTCCGACGCCGTTTTGCTGACAACTGACGAAACAAGGGGCGGCATTGAAAAGATAAGGGAGTCCTCTTTGCAAATGTTTTTCACCCTGCGAAAATATACGTAACTTTTAAATCCAAACCGTTCAAAATAATCTAAAGGTTCTGAATGTGCCACGTATTTAATGGCCCAGTTTTCCTGACCCTTTTCCCCACTCCGTCTCCCTTCATTTTTCCTTTTGCAATCGACGAGTCATGTATTTCCACTTCGGGTGATGCTAAAGAATATAAATTTGTAGATAAAATTTGCACATTAAATGATGTGTTCCTAATAGGAATGAGTATATTTATCAACGTCTAAGTTATAATTTATTCATCAACTTCCATGTTATTTAGTTTATAAATTTTTATCTATTAATTTAGTTTCTTTAGCATTACTTTTTCACACTTCACTATCTCTCTTTCTCTTATATGCACACCAGAGTGTCAGCATTGCTAGAAATGAAGAAATTAAGCTATGGAAATAGAGAGAGATATGTCGAAGAGGTTTAGAGAGAGAAGGAGAATATTGCAACTGAATCTTTCTATTTCTGTTAAGTATAGTATTATAAGGCATTCTCACTATTTATACTCATACAACTCATAACAACCTTGAGACAAACCTTAGCAACCACTAATAACAATAGAAGTGGCATTCTCTACATAACTCAAACGACACAATACACATATCCTTTATATTCTAACATTCCTCCTCAATCTTATGTTGGGAAACCCCATGCATAAGATTGGAACAATGATGGCTGAAAGAAGGAGAATATAAACCTTTGGTAAGGATATCTGCATACTGATCAGTAGAGGATACAAACTGAAGTGAAATAACACCTTGTTGAAAATGTTCTTTAACAAAGTGACAATCCACTTCAATATGCTTAGCTTTGGAGTGAAGAACTAGATTAGTTGCCAATGCCATAGCTGAGATATTGTCACAATGTAATATTGAGGCTTAGTCTTGAATGAAATGAGACCACGAGGAGTTTCACACGGTGCATGGTTTTCAAATTTGTTGGGGATGAATCGACACTTGTATTTGTTGTGCTTGTTGATTCTCCACGAGCTTGATGAAAAGCATATATGTTGGGTATTTTGATTTGAATTTGGTTATGGTTGAGGAATTTCTGGATGTTCAGAGCTTCGCCTTGCTTCTTTTTTTTTTTTTTTTTTTTTTAAGTGTCATACACAATTTAGGCTCTTATGGGCCAGGAGCATTTGTTGTCGCCTTTTAGGCTTATGCAGACGAGGAGCTTTGGTGTTGTTTGCAGTTTTGACTCGTGCAGGCAAGGAATGTTTGGTGCTGTGTTGCAATTTCAGCTCCTGCAGGCAAATAGTGTTCGGTGTCGCCTTTTAGGCTTGTGCGGACGAGGAGCATTTTGGTGTGGATTTTGTCAAGTGATCTTGGAGAGGCATTCCTCACAATCTTCATAGCAAGGAGTCTTGATTGAGTGATCGAATGAGTGTTCAGGGAAGAAATCACGCATCGTGATAGGGATGAATGATCTTTGTCTCGAAATTTCATCATCTTTAACATTTTTATGTTGCTTTGGAGGTTGATGAGAGATTCTTTGCCTCCTCCATGATTTGTTAACTTGAGGACAAGGTATATGCTTTTTGCGCGGTGTTTTTGGAGTGACAGAGTCCATCCTTCAACTTCATTCGGCTTGACTAGCATGGTTTTAGAGCATGCCCCCAGCGATTGAGGTGAAGATGTTGAGTCGAAATAGCCAAAAGTGACGGTGGTATGATTTGACTCCACCACATCATTAAGATCTAAGTCGATGACTCATTCTTGGGCCAGCTTCATGATGAGATCTTTTAGCACAAAGCATTTTTTCAACCGAATGACTAATGACGCAGTGATATTTGCAATATCTTGGGTTGTTTACTCGATTTATTTCTTCCGACCGCTTACACTCGGGCAACTCGATCACCTTCTTGTCAAGCAAATCTTTCAACATGGCAGCCATATCGGTGTCAAGGAATGGATAAGTCTTCTCCTCAAGCTCATTCAAAGTGCGCTTGTACCTCTCCTAATCATGAAAAGGTTTATTCTGCTTCACCTCTTTTTTTTTTGTCTCTTGTAGAGATTTTGATGGGAGTCGTGTTAACCACCATTGCTTCCTTAGCAGGCTCATTCACAGATTTGTCCATTTTATGCCCAAAGAATTTGTCTTTCTTATAGTCGGCTATCGATTCTTTCTTCCTATGATGGGCGATGCTCAACTCAATGTCGTGGGCATAGGTGGCTAACTCCTCCCGCGGTTTGATACCTTGAAAAACGTAGTGTAATCCCCAATGCATGCCTTGTATGCACATCTCAATCAATGAGATCTTCGAGAGTTTGTCTTTACAGTTGAAACTTAGCATGCGCCATCAGTTGATGTAGTCAACGACAAGCTCATCCTTCCACTCTTTGTATTTGTAAGCTTTATCATGCTGACGGTACAATGGGTGCTATAAAAGTGATTCAAGAATTCTTGCTCTATATGCTTCCAATTGTTTATGGACTCAAGCTCTAGGTCTGTGTACCAATCAAATGCATTTCCTTTCAAAGAACGGACAAACTGCTTTACGAGGTAGTCTCCCTCAGTCCCAGCGTTGTTTCAAGTTTCGACGAAATGAACGATGTGTTGCTTTGGGTTTCCCTTTTCGTCAAACTGCATGAACTTTGGTGGTTGGTACCCCGTCGGCATCCGCAAGCTATCAATCCTCTTGGTGTATGGCTTCGAGTACATCAGTACATCCTTCAAAGTGCCTCCATATTTTTCCTTGATGGTATTTGTGATCATGTCTTGAAGTTGTTGGATGGAAAGAGAGCCCGTTGATGTAGCTTCAGACTTTAGCTTTTGTTTCTCTCCAGCTTTGTCAATATAATGCGCTACTTCCTCGCCAAACTCCTAGTCGTGCTGATTCTTCTTTGGGTCAGGGTCAATTTCTCCATCATGCTGCGATTCCAACCTACTCATAAGCGTAGCAATCTACGCATCTTTGTCCTCGACGGTATTTGTCAGCTTTGCGATTGCCTCGTTCATCTGTGCAAGTTGATCTTCAATGAAGGTAGCACTGGTGATCATGACTTGCACAACCAAAGAATCTCTTATAGACATCGAGGGTGCTGGCAAAGTCTTCATATGACAATTGCTGGTCGGTGATCTGCAGTAGGATCCTACATTTGAGTTCGAATATGAAGCCAGTGACAATGAGTGCTCCTTCGGGTTTTTCGAAGATAAAAAATCCCGTTGGCCGTTTTGGGACGTCATCTTATGTGCCATAGAAGCATGCTTTGGTGCCCCCAGCGAGGCTAGGTTGATGGCGAGTGCGTGCCTCTGACGCTCCATTTGCTCATTCAACAAAACTAACTTTGAAGTTACATGTTGAAAAGTGGCGACCGCCTTCCTTTGCTCCAGGTTATGTTGCCAATGGATTCTCCACTTGCAGTAGAAGTGCTGGTGCTCCTTCCCTCAGATGCAAGAGAGGCTTATCCTTTCTTTGATGCCATTGACTTCGAAGTGTGCTTGGATTTCTTGAACGGAGAAAGAGATGAAAGGTAGAGATTGTCCCACCGGGCGTGCCAAATTTGTAAACATGAAAACCCTGTGACAAATGAGACAAGAACACGTGTACAAAATAAATTGTTTATATTAATGAATTTGTAGGGTTACAATCTCTTTACAACTTGATCATCTGATTCGATCTCTGAAATGTGTAGATGTGAAGTGTTGTTGATCCAAGGATCGCGATCACTTGATCTTGGATGAACGAATGTCACAAGGTTTTGGCTCTTGGCAATGGAGGAACGGGTAGGTGTAGGGGTGTTTAGTGGTTCTTCACGGGATTTGACGAAGTTTTCTTGGGTGTTTGAGTGTTTGGGGGGTTTGAGTGCTTGAGAGCTTCAGAATTTCAAAGCTTCAGCATCTGGGCGTGAAATGATTTTTGGACCCCTTTCTTTGTCTTGGAGTCTCCTATTTATAGATTTTTCAAGCCTTAACTATGGATGGATTTGGCCTTGATTGTGGGCTTGATTATTTGACTTAAGAACCAAGACTTGATTTATGGGCCAGTTTGTGATTTGACTCCAACAATTATCATTTGTTTTGATTAAATTAAAATCAAATAATTCATTTCTGCCAAGTGTTGACACGTGTTATTCTTGATGACTAGTCCGATTTTGTTGAGTCGCACGCTATGTGTACAATTTGTGTGACACGTGGCGCATGGCATGTATGCCCTAGCATGTCGAAACTTTAATATGTTGGTGAATATTTATTTCACCGAAATTTTGATGTCTACACTAGTACCAAAGGTCGTGGTCGATCATGGGAAACCATTTACAAAAGCAAGATGTAATTTTTGAAGGTTTGAAAGCCTTAATGAATAAGTACTAATTCTCTTAATAATCTTATGAAGCTTATAGTGCCAGCCAAATCAAAAGGAAAAGAAAGGGTCTAACCAAAAAACGATCAGAAAAGGGCATTAATATTCAGCGCAAGTTATCTATGTTTAAAGGGCATGGAAAATGATCATCTCCGGATCCGCTTTTGGGAATCTAAAGGATCCATCAATCACGGTCATTCATCGTACATTGTGCGGTCAGTTTTCGTTAGATACTATTTATATTCAATTATAAATTTTAAATTTTAAATGATTTCTGATCGCATAATGTACGATGTACGATGAACGATCGTGATTGATGGATCCATCAGATCCCCACAATGAGGATCCAGAGATGATCCTTTTCCAAAGGGCATAAGCTAGTGTTAACTAGGCATTGTTGGTTGAATTTTTTATGTGAAATTCATCCGTCTTGTAAGCCTTGTTTTCCTGTACAAGCTTGAGCATAGCGAATCTATCAATGACCAAAAGATGCATGATTCCAGTATCGCT